TGTGAAGGCTTCCTAGGCCCTAGGATTCTCTCTGCTTTAGTTTGTTTTGTGTTGCTGTACCCAAAGTGGAATCTGAGTACTTTATAAAGAAGAGAGTTTTTTATATTCAGCTTGTGGTTTTGGAGGCTGAAAAGTCCAAACTGGGTGGCTACAACTGGTGAGGGCTTCATGTGGTGTCACAACATAGAGGATGGCATCACAGGGTGGGAGCCTGTGTGACACCAGCCAGCAGCACATGCAGAACTAACACAGTCAGAGAAGAAGCAAGAGGACAAATAGAGGAAACTGAGCTCGCTTCAGGTAATTTATCCAGCCCCTGAGAACAAGAACCGAGAACAGCACTCCTGCACTCTCCTGAGACCTAACTCACTTTCTGAGAAAGGCATCAATCTCTCTTAAAGCCTAACTATCACCTTAAAGATCTTAAAAGTCCCACCACCACCAATGTTGGACTGGGGACCAAGCTTCAGCATATGAATCTTTGTGGTACAAACCACACACAAACTATAACATTTTCTCTCCTCTACTTCAGTATTGCTGTCCTCTCTTACTATTTGAGATGTTTTCTCAAAGTCTCATATTCTCTATTATTTGAACTATTACTTAATTATTCATGAATTTATATATACCATCTCCTCAGTTAGACTGTAGACTCCATGAGGACCTAAATGTTTCTCTGAATCCCTCACAATACCCAGTAAGTGCTCAGCCTGTGGAAGACACCCAGTGAGTAACTGTTTCATTGAGATGTTTATAGTGGAATTGTGGAAAAGCCAAGTGGAAATTCAGGTATTAAATGGTAACTGTGTATGTCTCAGCTTTGTCATGGGGTAGGGAAGGGAAATGTTTATCTGATCCTCAGAGAAGGAGAACAGAGGTAGAAAGAAACAAAGAAAAATTCCATGTGTTGAGATATGCTGCAATTCTGCCACAAAACCTGCTGGTAAACCCATCTACTTCTTCAGCCTGGAGAAATTTAAATTTAAAGACTGGGTAGATCTTAGCCTCCCTTTCATCAAGAGATCTTAACATTCCTAACCTCTCCATCTCACCTTGGTAACCCTAGCCTGAAAAACTGATGTGGGATTAAGTCATGAGTGAGATTTCTGACTGCTGACCAAGTTCTGGACTGTACTCTCTTCTCTCTTCCTGGCAAGATAGGGTTAGGAGTTCTCATCTTGCTTTTTTTTTTTAATACTGAAGATTGAACCCAGGGACATTTTATCACTGAGCTACATTTTCAGCCTTTTATTTTTTTACTTTGAGACAGGGTCTTGCTAAGTTGTTGAGGCTGGCTTTGAATTTGTATCCTCCTGCATTAGCAGGAGGTGTGTGTTACCATACCCAGCAGCTCTCATCCTATGCAAGAAACCTCCTAGAAAGGTCACACTGACTGGAAGGAGAAAGTTGGAAAGTTGTGTTTAGTGATAGCGCTTCCTTGGATTGAAATGGATTTATAAACTTCCTGCAATTTTCTACTTTAGAATTCACAATCAGACCTGAGATTGGTGACAACTGGATATTACATATGATAGTTTCACAACTATGAATCTCAGAACCATATATTTTAGCCATGGTGTGGCCACTTATTGCCCATTCAAAATTAATGTCTTATTTTTATATGCATTACTTATAAATGGCCATTTTATGTTCTTGTGTTGAGGAGAAAAGATATAAGTAAATTTTTAGCAAGAATGATAATAAGAACTTTTGTTTTCCCTCTGTTCCTGCTGATGGGCAGAATCACAGTCTCTGGGACAGGAGTCCCCTGTGTTTCTCCTTTGCTAGCAAAACAATAAAACTTCTTTTTCCTTTTTTCTCAAAAAGAAAAAAAATGAACTTCTGTTTTTAAAACTTCCAAGTAATATCACTATACACTTTTTTGCTTTTTAAATATTCCAGTTTATTTAATGTTCCTGATTTGACTCTCCAGGCAAACACAGTGCCTTTATTTGGTACAACTCCCTGTCAGAACCTAGCATTAAATGAGATAATGTATGAAACACAGTGCCTGGAATACAGTATACATTCACCAAATGGTAATAATCATTGTAATTAATTAATGATAAGACCCTGCCACTTACACTTACTTCATTTGGTCAAAACTGACTTCCTTAAAAATGTAAATGATTCTGGGTATTTTAAATTACAACAGCGGGTAAGTTGGTTTATTATAAAAATTTTCTTGAAACTTTGGGAGCCTAGGGTAGGGAAAAGTTCTAAAAACAGGATAATCTGTCTTCACAAATTTGATCAGGGATATCAATAGTGCAAAGTCATTTCTGAATTCTCAGCTTTAAAATAGTAATAATCTTTCTGTGCATGGTGGTGCATGCCTATAATCTCAGAAGTTATAGACACTAATGCAGGAGCATTGTGAGTTCAAATACAGCCTTAGTAATTTAATAGGGCCCTAAGCAATTTAGCAAGATCCTGTCTCAAAGTAAAAAATGAAAAGATGCTGGGGAGGTGGGTGGCTCAGTGGTTATGTGTCCCTAGGTTCACTCCCTGGTTCCCCCCTACCCTGATAAAAAAAATAAAAATAGCAATAATCTGTAAATTTTCTAAAATATTTAGATAAAAATATATTTACCTGCTTATGGCAGATAGCCACAGCTTGAAAAGTGGCTGGAGGAAAGTTTAATGAAAGCTATGGCTCATTTTCAGTTTTTTTTTTTTTCACTAGAAGTTGAACCCAGAGTCTCCTATATGTCAGTCAATCACTGTACCACTGAGCTACATCTTCAGCTCTCAGGTTATCTTTTCTATACACAAACCCTCCCAATGTCACAAAATTCCAGCTGTAACTATGATCACCAAAGCCAGCCAGGAAGATTGTTTCTTTATGTTTTTCCCAGATAAAAATGGTGAGATATTGCTGGGTGTACTAGGGAATGTGCATATAATTCCAGCTACACGGGAGGATAAGGCAGGAGGATTGCAAGTCTGAAGCCAGCCTGAGCAATTTAGTGACAGCCTGTCTCAAAATAAAATAAAGGGCTGGAAATATAGCTCAGTGGTAAAGTGACCTCAGTTTCAATCCCCAGTACTGGAAAATAAACGAAGAATCTAATGTATATTTATTAGAAATAGCCAACATCATCCTTTAAAAACATCTGATTCAGAGAAATGATCAAAAGCCTCATTAAATTGAATTTGATGACTAAGTACTCAAACGAGATGACACATTAAAAGATCCATTCTTCCTTGAATGATATCTTGTTTTAAAATCTAGATGTTTTTCATGGTCCCACTCAATTCTTAGACCTTCATCCTCAATTTGGCCTAGTTCTAGGTTTCTCAGTTCCTTTTTAAAACCTGGAGATTGAAATACGTCTAGCTTTATGAGCTTTAGCTTGTACATCATGTTTACACATCTGAGAAGGGTGTACTCTGGGAGGAAAGCCCCTTGATTTCCATATGCCTCTTGAGTCTCCCTCCTTATCTCCTATCTTCTCTCCCTCAGATCTTCAATATGGATGACAGATTTTTTTTTTTTTTATTGTACTGGGAGTGGAAGCCAGGAACTCTTAATTTCTGAACCACATATCCAGCCCTATTTATTTATTTAAAAATTTTGAGGCAGGCTAAGTTGCTTAGGGCCTGGCTAAGTTGCTGACACTGGTTTTGAACTTGTGATCCTCCTGCCTCGGCCTCCTGAGTTCCTGGAATTACAGGTGTGTACCACTGCACCTGGCAGAGTGACAAAATTTGTATTTTGTCTTGGTATTGTCCTAAAAGAAACCAGAAAGAAAATAAAAATTTTCAGTTAATTATTTTAAAAAATGAATTATTTTGATTTCTTTCATTATGTAGGATTCAAGAACATGCTGTGTAAGCTGGGCATGGTGGCACATGCCTATAATCCCAGCAGCTCTGGAGGCTGAGGCAGGAGGATTGTGAGTTCAAAGCCAGCCTCAGCAATGGCAAGGTGCTAAGCAACTCAATGAGACCCTGTCTCTAAATAAAAAATGCAAAATAGGGCGGAGGATGTGGCTTAGTGGTAGAGTGCCTCTGAATTCAATCTCTGGTACCAAAAAAGAACATACTGTGTAAACCCAGAATCTATTATCTATCTATCTATCTATCTATCTATCATCTATCCATCCATCCATTCAATATATCTATGAAGAGAGCTGCAGATATTCCAAGTAACTTTTCCTATTGGTAGGTAAAACTGGAAGTGCTTTATACAACACCAAGAAAATAAGACAATGGACATATTGGCATAATGAGAAACAAAATAAATATTTTATTAAATTAATGCAGGTACAAACAATTACAATCAAATATAGAATTAGATGACATTTCTGCATATGTAATTTACAATGAAACACAAGACAACAGGGTTAAAGTGCTTATAAATCCAACACCACGAGGTGTTGAGACTTAGGAATGGAATGAATGTATGGAACAAATGAATGTCTTGCTCATCCACAGTCTTTGTATCAAACAAAGGACATTGTCACACAAATTATTGTATAAATAAATAAAGTAGAAACACATAATATAAGGGGTTCTGTTGGAGACTTTGTTTCTTCAGTATTGACACGTGGCAACAAAGAAGATGCTAATAAATTGCCAGGAGTGAAGGAAAAGTTTTGAAAGGTCATCTGAATCTCAGTGCCTCTGGAAAAAAATATCTTATGAGGCCCATGTAGGGATAAAAGATGATGATATTATAGGGTTTAAGCAGAGAAAATGGTCCCTTTCTGGTACAGACAAGGGTCCAGGGTAGCCAGCAGCCAAGGTACTTTGCTGGAATTTCCAGAAATAACATGTAATTATGCAAGTGCAACATTCAAGGTGAAATTTATACTAAGGGTGTGGTGGGGCATGCCTGTAATCCCAGAGGCTGGGGAGGCTGAGGCAGGAGGATTGCAAGTACAAAGCCAGCCTCAGCAATTTAGGGAGGCCCTCAGCAACTTAGTGAGACACTGTCTCAAAGTAAAATATAAAAAAGGGCTGGTGATGTGGCTCAGTGGTTAAGCACTCCTGATTTCAATCCTTGGTATAAAAAAAAAAAAAAGAAAATATATTTAAAAAGTTTTTGACATGTTTCTTGCATAAAGAGTTAATAATAAGGCCATTGCTAGGTATAATGGTACATACCTGTAATTCCACCACAGGTAGCAAACACAGGAGGATTGCAAGTTGGAGGCCATTCTCTGCAACTTAGCAAGACCCTGTTTCAAAATAAAAAGGGCTGAGGGTGCAGATCAGATCAGAGATAGAGAGTTTATAGGGCCCTGGGTTCAATCCTCAGTAGAAAACCAAACCAAACCAAACCAAACAACAACAACAACAACAAAACATCTCTGCCCTTCAATGCTGAATTGACTCTTGATTGACTCACTGTAACCTGAGAACCCATGGGCATCACTGTGCAAACATAAAATAAGCATAAATGGAGAAAAAATAAAAAGAAGGTGCTAAAAATACCACACACTACATAGAGAAGTATGGTAAAGACATATCAGGGATAAATATAATGCTAGAAAAGGAATTCCAGAGTTATTTTCCACAGTTTTTAAAAAAATACTGACTTCCTATAATCTAAAAATTGCTTTGATTATTATCATGTTTATGCAACTGATATTTTGTCTTGCTCACTTCTGTAGACTCAATGCCTGACCCAATGCAAGGCACATGTATCATACAAAGATATTTAAACACTTTTTAAATAAACACATTTCTTAAAATAGAGATGTTAATTGTATTCCAAAAGGACAGCAGATAAATTGAGGAAATCTGAAGACTGCTATTTACTGCTGTGTACAAGCTACTTAATCTCTCTGTTTCCTCAGCTGTTAAATGGGTATAATAGTGGTTGTGATGACAGGAATACATGAGATCATGTGTGTATAGTACCACACAGTTATAAATCTGATATTTAAAGGGAACAGATTTTGCAGCAGACCCCTGAGGTCTGAGAATAGGATTAGTCAAGTCAAACAAAGTATCAATAAGTTATATAAGGTCAAATCCTATACAAACCAATGGCTTATTTTCTATGCTTCCAATTTGTAATGTCAGTTACAGAGAATACTAGTATCTAACAAATACTAGATGTTTCACTGAACACAAACAAGCAGTTAAGTATAGAGTTTGGTGACAAAATTTTAACTTCTACTATAGTATGTCTTCAAAAGAAATCATTCATAGCCACAGTCATATGACAAGACCCCTCAGACTGGAAATAAATAGAAACAACTCATTCTTCAACACTGTTGCAACACGAGGAGGTGGAGAAGACAAGGAGAGGCAAAGGGCACTTCTGCAAGAACATCCATGAAATCAGGGATCCTCAACCCACTTTCCTAGCATGAGTGATGGATGGTTTGCTTGGAGACGCCTCATTCAGAAGTGTTCTTTGTCCCTTTTACATGCACCAACAAGTCTCTCAGCTTATGTTGAAGTGCCCAGGTTTCCTTCCAGGCTCCCCTTTCTACTCCCATCTTTCTTTGTTCTCCTCTTCTTTCCCCAGGTTCTATTTTCAATATTTGGGCCTTTTAATTCCAACATCATCAGCAGCATCCCATGGGCCCTTTCATCCGTGAACTCCCAAACAACAGGAAAAGAATCCCTGCTTGAAAAATGTAATTTTCAATGCTGGTTACGTCTCTTCAAACTGTGTATCTGAAGAATGATAACAGTATATTAATTGCATGGGGTCAGGGTTCTGGAAAAACAAGAAATTGACAAGAAACAAAACTCATATTTTCTAACCATTTGATCAGTTTTCAATAAGAGAAAGAGGCAGATTATATTTATGCTCAATTACCCTTGAATGATAAAAGATGACTAACTTCTGGTTTGCTCGGGAATGTCCTGGTTTTAAAACTGAAAGTCTGATGTCCCGAGAAACCCCCAAGTTTTGAGCAAACTGGGAGGGTCAGTTCCCTAGGATGACCCACATGTAGGCTAATTAGCTTTACAGAGCAAATTAACCACCTGATGAAACCTACCTGGGCTTTTTAAACTGGGGCTCATTGTTAAATTTTGTTTCTAACTACATTAAAATGAATTAGAAGATTTGATATAATTGTTTTAAGTTCTATCAGCTGGATGAGGTTTCTCTGCTGTTTTATAAATGTAGGCATTTGTAGCAAAATGAATTGAAGCAGATAGGTGAAGAGTAAGGGTCCATGGTCAGGTTAGTGGGCCCACAAACTTGGTTTTTGGTCACAAGCGGTGTATTTTGGGGTACTTTTCATTACCTTCATGAACCTCTGTTCTCTGCCCTAAAATGGAGATAATTCTAGTATTAGAATACTAGAATTCTCTCATTCTTTTGGTGTGTGGGGGGAGGGGATTAAATGAAACACTATATACCACACACTAATCAGTTAACAGTGCCTGATATGCAACACTGTAGAATTAATTATCCACTCACTTAAGTCAACATGGTCCCCTGTGGCAGGAGATGTTGGGATGCAGAACAATAGAAGGTTAGTGAAGAGAAGCTGCCTTCTCCTTTCCCCTCTTGTCTCCTCTCTCCTATGGAGGGTCAGTCCTAAACCTCCTCAGAATGGAAGGAGTTCTTAAGAGTTGTGAGGCAAAGAGGAACCAGCAATTCCAACAACCAGCCTTTTCCAAAAGGAGGGGAGACTGTGATAGACAGAATTCTCCTTGTTATTACTTTAGTTTTTTTATTCATTTTCCTTCAACTTCCCAATTCTTTATGACATTCTTACCATTTTGCTTCCTTGAGTTTATATCTTGGATGCCACCATTCTCCACATCTAGCATTCTCACTGAAGAAAGAGAAATAATTTTCATTTTCATGTAGTACAACACCGTACCTTACACAGTGACTCAAGTTTAAACTCCAGGTTCCTATGAAACATTTTTAATTCCCTAGAAACTCAGGTGAATTTCCTTATTCCAAGGTCCAAACCCACGAGGTTAATTAATTCATCAGTTTAGAATATATACTTTTGCTCTTAGATTTTCTTTAGGAGTATATACTTTCATTTCCATCCTTTTAAAAAGAAATGGACCATATTCTGAGGCACTTTATTGGTTTTCTGGCCATTCCCAATGCCAACTAATCTTTTCTCCAAGGGAATATTCAAAATGCAAGTTGGTAATAATCATTTCCTCGTGCAAATCCATTCCGTCTCTATACCTCTCTGTTACTGAAACTTGACCCATATATTCTGGCTAACTGTCTCAGTTCTGTTAAGGGCCTACTCTTTGAAAATAACTGATCTGTACTCATTCAGTTACATACTTTCTCAGGTCCACCCACCCTCCTAGGGGGTTGTGGGGAATTTCTAAATGAGTATTGGAATTCCCTTCATATTCTACTTCCCTATGTGACATCAGACACCTCTATGTGAACATCATCATTGGATCTCTCGGTACATAATCTCAAAGTATTGGGGGAAGTGTTTACTCTGAATCATCTTAGGAGGAAATTATTTGAATATACTCATTTTCTTGCATTTTAATAATTCCCATGGGTATGTAAATAAATAAGCACATGCAATTTGTTTTTAAAATTATGTAACACTCTCCTCCAGAAATCTTGCAGTATACTCCATGGTAAATATATAGCTCTACAGAAGGAACTATTTATTTCTTAGGAAACTCAGAAATGAGCTCAAAGGCTGGGATTGTGGCTCAGTGGTAGAGCGCTCACCTAGCCCGTGTGAGGCCCTGGGTTCGATCCTCAGTACCACATCAAAATAAATAAATAAAATAAAGATATTGTGTCCAACTACAACTAAAAAATAAAAAAAAAATTAAAAAGAAACCAGCTCAATATAATGTTGTAACTAATATAAGACTCAAATTCAATGGAAACCAACAGGAATTTAAGTACATTCTCTTCTATAAATTTGTGGTTATTTGCATAGTAGAAAGAAGCTGCATGACACTGAGTTTTCTTCAGCCTCCATACATGCCCATTCTTCTACCTCTTGCCACTATACACCCAATCTTCTGGCAATTCCACTCAGCTTCACTGTGATTGCTATTAACAGTCAGAAATCTTGGTGCCACCGTGCAAAGCCAAGCCAATTTCCTTGCAGACATTATTCAACTCTCACCCTTTGAAAATGCAACTACAGGGTTCAATGCCACCCTTCAATATAGGTGTAGCAAAATGAGCAGCATTGAAGGAAGAGATAATACCCAGTTTCACTCAGTGGCAAAGCTAAAATCCATTTGCATAATTGAAAGTGGGCCCTGAGAGGGAAAGCTAATAGGAAGGCAGCATAAGGCAGTACTCTAACATTCTGAGTGGGATAGATCCCCCCTGATGGGGACTGTCCTATACATGCAGGACATTTAGCATCTCTGGCTCTGCCTATTAAGTGTCACTGTGGCAACAATGAAACCTTCACAGACTTCACATCCCCAGGGGAGACCATTGCAATTAAAGAAATACCATTTTTTCTTAAGCAGAACAGGATTGTCAATGCTGCACCAAAGCAAAACAGGACAGCTCCCAGCTTCACAAAGTGAGTCCTTTGAAGTAATGTAGATGGTTCTGAAAAAGAAAACAAGACCAAAGAGAAAATTTTCATGGGAACTAGTCAGGGAAATAATCATCCCTTGAAGTTTAATTTAATTTAGTTTCAGGTTAATTTTCTTAAATCCTGAAGCTCCTGGCTAGAATGATGAGATTTCTCTGACAAGAGAATAGAAGTAGCATGGAAAAGTGGAAGAAGGCCTGGACTTGGACAGATGGACTTGGGACTTAATTCTGGCCCCACTGGCCAGCTTTGAGATCTATAGCAAGTCCTTTAACCAGACTACAAAATGGAAAGGCTAAGAAATTTCTTGTGAGGTGAAATTTCTTGTGTGGTGCTTACGTAGTACCACAGGGAATGCCTGCTCAATATTAAATGGCAGAATGCACTATGTTACTTTGTCTTACATTCTTTAATATAGAAGTTGGAAGTCTACTGTACATGGCAAGGATGGCCCACTGTGGAACCTGGAAGGCCAAATGGCACTGTTCAAGGATTTTCTGCCTCTCCACATCCATGGTCATGAGCAAGGACCAATACTTGTTATCTTTTTCCTGAGTTTGAACACCTTGGGACACCATTGGTTTCTCTCACCAGTTTCTCTGTCTGCAGTCTGATGCAGGGGCTAAAGGGATCCCACAGCACATGCATGCTTGGAGACTGCTAACTCCTCTTTCACCATAAGTCTGTTCTTGCTTAACCTCACTATCAGCTGAGACCCGTGATTCCTAACTTCCTACTTTGAATTTTAAAGTCACAACAGCAGCTGGACTTTGTTTATAAAGCCTGTTGGTTTATAAAGCCTGTTCATACATATTTTGAGTCTCAAAACAACATTACAAGTTAGGCATACCAGGTAAGAAAAAATCCCCAAGTTGCAGTTGAGAAAACAGACTCATAGCCGTTAGGTGACTTACTCCAAGTTGCCACACAAATAAGTTGTCATAAGACAATTTTTAAATGGCAGGAGTCCACTAATACAGCTCTTAATTGAAGGCCAATCCCAGAAACAACATCTCTATTTTTTAAAGCCTTTTCGCTCTTTTTGTTTAAAAGAGCACCCTGGATTGGTTTTTCAAATGGGTTGACTTTTCTATCCAATTTTCCAGTAGTTTTCTCTGAAGTACATGGAGTTTTTCTGTCAACATCTATAGGGGGGAAGGGGCAGTGAAAAGCACTTCTCATCAGAACACCTTTGGGTTTGTACTAATCATCATGCTTATCCTCCTCACTTATTCAAATGGCCCAAGACTCATCAGACATTGTCTCCTATTCTACCTACTACTGCTGAGTAGTGGGAATAAAAATACTTGAATTTGTGCTCACAAGGGTCTCAAATCATTTGCATGTACTATAGCTTATTTTTCCCCTACAAAAACCTTGCCTTATATATATACCCCCTTCAGGGAATGTGGAACCCACAAAAGTCTAGTATTTACCCAGGGACATGCAGCCTTTCATTCTATGGTCCAACCAGGATGTCTTGAGTTGAAAACCTATAGAATAGCTTGAGAGAGGCGCATGGGGAGAAAGGATCTCCCACATTTGGAGTAAGATAAAAAAGTACATTCCCTTTGCTTCCTGGCATAGAAACTGTGTTGAGAAGGGAGCAGCTCTGATATGCTAGACTTTGGATTCCTAAAACAAGTCCTGAATTGAGTATTGTTCTCAGGTTCCTCCTGATGCCCCAACTACAAGAGCATTTCCAACATACAACTGGATTGCCTCTTTTCTTACCTGTTTCCTGGATAGTATGAACTGTGTCCTATTCTTCTACAAATACCCAATCCTTAATATACTACGTGGCAAGTAGGGAATATTCCATAAATATTTGCTGAATGTGTATTAAGTAGCATTATGACTTGGATGCATGGAAGTGAGGGAATAGCATAATGGCATACATTTTGTAAGTACTATGCTATTCTTTCATTCAACCATCACTGAATGACTATGATGAGCAGGCATAATGGTAGCTGTTAGGGGACAGCGTTAGACATGTTTTAGTAAACACATTCAGAATATTACCTGGGATGACCAATTCAGCTGTATTGTTTTCTGTGAAACTTAATCTCTTAAAAGTACAGTAGAAAATCTCATTAGCTGTTGTGTTGATTCTCAGTGTGCTGGTCACATTGAAAAACTTCTCTTCCCTCTGGGATTTGGTGATGGTGGTTTTAGCACTCAGTATTTGGTGGTCACTGCTTGTCCAGATGACTTCAGCCTCAGGGTAGCCCTCAGCCTGACATGTTAGTTCATATTCAGAGGTGACCGGATCCATAGAAATTATTTGGCTGATCTCGCGGTATGGGGCTACGTCATGAGAAAAAAAGAAGTGAAAGTTTTCTCTAGACATGTGTCTTGGTGTTGTCTACATTAGAAACTATCAATGCAGGCTGATTCTCAGAGAAATAGGCTTCATGGTCAGCTGTTTTAGCAGTAGGGAAGCCCTGCCTGTTGACCTCAACACTTCTCTTCAAGCACAGGCCAAGTCTGAGCTTTAAGAAACAACTGTCTTGCTATAAAAATCATGTTGGTATATGAATACACGAACCAGTGTAACTCCACATCATATACAACCACAAGAATGGGAAGTTATACTCCATGTATATATGTCAAAATACCTTCTACTCTCATGAATAAATAAAAAGAACAAATAAAAAATTTAAAAACTATGTTAATATATGTATTGGACTCAAAATATAGACTAAAGTAAACTGTCATCTTTAAACAAGTAGTCTTTCTATTCAAATAAAGACCACTTAAAAATGAATCCACTGAAATGTCTATTTATTCACATTTTTATGTTTTTCCCAGCAAAATGCTATAGCTTTCATAAACGGCTCTGTTTCTTCTTAAATTTAATCCTGGATATTTCCTTTGTTTTATTGTAAAGCTGTCTTCATAAACATGAACCTTTATAGCTAGCACGCACTATACCTTAGACTTAATTGAATAAACTGATTTTGATAGTCATTTACTTGTTCAACTTTGAGACAATGATCAGAAGTTAGATTTGAAAAGACATACTATGTCACTTGTGAAAATTAATACTTGTTCCTAGTGACCCTTTGTAAAGTTTAAGTACATTTTTAAATTTGAGAATGGATTAAGATCTACAAAAAAGTTGTAAAAATAATAGTTACTATATACTCCTTACCAAGATTCCCTCATTATTCACATCTTACATTACTCTGGTACAACTTCTATGACTGAAGTGCCAACGTTAGTACATCACTATTAACCACATTCCATCATTTATTCCATTCCACCAACTTTTCCCGCTCTAGGATCCCATCTGGGTTACCATAATATGATTTAAAAATTTTTTTTTTATGTTTGCTATTTTAGTACATCTTTTAATTATTATATTCATGGCAGAAAGTCTAATTAGTTTTTAGATAATTGGTTTGAGAACTTTTTAGGATTAAGATACTCAGTCTGCTGACTATTCTAGTAGATTGTTTAATGCTTATATATAGCATAAGATTTATATTCATGTTTACTCATTACAAGTACATCAACATATTTTTAATTCTGTTGACATAACCATTGCTTTATACCTAATACTTTAATGAACAACTAATCATCTATAACTCTCCAATTCTTTACCAAAGACATAACAAAAGCTTTGTGATATAATACTTTCACAGAGATTTAACAAAGCGACTAGCTTAAAACAAAATAAATAAATAATGATGTGATGTTTTGGTGCTCTTAAATCAAGGAAATCACAACCAATTAAATCAATATAATTATGATTTTGAAACACACACAAAAAATTGGGCCATCCATCTTTTAACTGTCATATTTAAAGACCACTTAAAAATGAATCCACTGATTATACTTCACAAACTGCTATTAACATAACAGGATCAAGTTCACATAGCACAGAGCTTGGTTTATGGGCAATTAGAATTTCAACCTAAACTTACTCTTAGTGATAAATACTAGGGTTAAAATGCTTTTGCCTTTTTTTTAACCCTTCTATTATCATTTTTAATGGAAGAAGGGTGAAGAAGGATGCTGTTTCACACAGAGGAGCAAGTACACATATGATGCAGCCCTAAGAGCTAACAAATGAGTGGTTCACTCCACAAGGACTGAGTACATAGCTGCGCATTAGTCCCTAAAGTGGGGGCACATGTGTGAAGGTATGGGAAGAAAATGCTAGAACTTCCACTTATATGCATTTCTGTCATATCAATTAAAAAATAATTTAAGCTTCACAAGCTTTGCTTTTTGACACTGGGTCTCAGTCAGCCACACAGGGGTCTTACAGGAAGAGGACTTTCACAACACCAAAGGGAGAATGGGGACCCAGTTTGTACTTACTATGGATTTTCAAATTCTAATATCTACTTTTAACTAATATTCTCATGAAATGAACAACTAATTAAAAACTTTTCCACAAAGAAACCAAGAATTGAAGATAATACTAGTAATTTAAATACAAACCAAAAGGAAATGTCAGAAGGGATTTTTTTTTATCAACTACTTTATGAGGTTAAAACAATAAAGACCTAATTGGACTTGACAAAGTGTGGACTAAAATCCTCAAGATTATCAAGACTGTCTACCTTTGCTAATGATGAATTTTACCCTAAGGTGCATTATGCCTTGCCATATAAACTAATGAGTGAAGCATCTCAATTAGCAAGATATTAAAAGTACTGCTTGGTAATTTTACTTTACCTTTTGAAATGTCTATTTTTGTATATTCCTAGAACATATCATGTACCATATGAAGTTGGTGAAAGTCATCCTCTTTGCCTTTTAAAATGTCAATTCCTTATAATACAATCTATATATTAGTACAAAGTATATTCTTTATAATTATACACACATTAGTTTAAAATGTTTTACAATTTTTGCTGACTTCTGGTTTACTAGATCTAGAGCACTATGCTAATGTTGGTTGATCAAGATTAAGAAAAGTTCAAAGTAGTTTTGAAGTCATACAACCTGATATACATGCCAGAGGTATAAAGGTAGGCAGAAAAACATGATTATTAATGACAGATTTTAGAGCCAGTCTGCTTGGGTTTAGAACTCAGCTTTACCACTTACTAGTCTGATGGCCTTGGATAAATTGCTTGATTTCTCAGCCCTCAGTTTCCCCATTCTTAAAATGGGAAGAATAATGCCACATATCATTGAATCTAAGATACCTATCAAAAGTACACATTCAAATTTCAGAGCTAGTAAAATGTGAAAAATATTCACCTTACACAAGAGTCATGTTGAAGATTAAATGAAATGATTTAGGCAAAAAAGCTTAATACAGAGCTTAACCCATAGAAGTGCTACCCAAGTGTTAGCAGTAGTACTGGTAGAGCTGCTTCTCTTCCTCTTTTAATACTGAAGTGTACTCTTGTGGCAGTTCCTGATGAACACCATTGGAAATAAATTTCCACATATTATAACCTGTTCACAAAAGGTGCAATAACACCCAAAGTGATAAGAATTGAGTTAATCCAAAACCAAACCTTTCCAAATTTCACTTTTGAAATGCTTCACTTATAAAGCCCCGTGGTGAGTAAACTCCCTGTGGGGAGCTGTGTTACCACATATTTGCAGTGATGGGAAGAGAAGTCCAAGAGCATTACTGTGAAATCATTTGCATAAGGAGGTGACTCAGTAGTTCTATTTCCTTAGGTTGTAAAATTGTGCAAGTGTAGCCACCAAACGTCCACAGGTGGCAGTGCCTCAGTGCAACTGAAGCTTGGTGGCTGGCTTGTTCTCAACACAGAATGTTGAGACTTGCTTTAGCTCAACTCATCTTCCTGTATGCAAATAACAAGATGGTTTGGGATGAGAGGCTAATTTATAAAACAAAATGGAATGGCTTAACAAACCAGGTGTCAAATCTGCTTGGTCATTTGCTTTGCTCCATCAAGGACCCCTCCTAGGAAAAACCTTCAGTGCTAGAAGATCTTTTATTATGTTGAAGAGATATTATAGAGCCCCAGATAACCTGGTATAAACTCTTTCTCATTTACAAAGTCAGCCATCTGCCTGCATACTCCTGACAGGCTGATCAGAGACCTTTGGAAACAGAAACTTAAACTCTATGCTTCCTTCTTCCTGACTGCCAGGTTGATGTTCTTTCACCCCATCCTAGATCTAGCAAGCTTATGGCTTAAAGCTTGCTAATTTATTTAATTGCCTTTGAACACAATAGATACCTAATATTGCTGATGAACCCAAGAAAAGTTGACAATTTAAACAACCATATCCCAAGTTTTTTTTCCCATGACTGTCTTGAAGGAGAAACAAATGGTAAAACATAATGAAAATCAAGTCTACTTCATGAGGCAAGTGACATTTTCTTAACATCAGTAGCATTAATTAAGCCAGCATCAGACACCCAGTAATGTGCCATAAAATGGATGCATTTCTCCTAATCACTATATAATTTTATTTTTGAGTTTATAATTATCAGTGATCTTTCATAATAAATCTAAATTTTCCTGTTTATATCATGGACCTTCAGATTGATGATAGTTATCTTAGGAATAGGAAGACCAAGGGGAGATGAATGAATTCTGGTAAATATGGGGAGTATAAGAATAGAAGATCTGCCAGGCGAGGTGGTACATGCCTATAATCCCAGTGGCTGGGGAGGCCAAGGCAATAGGATTGCAAGTTCAAAGTCCAGCCTCAGCAACTTAGCAAGACCCTAAGCAATTTAGCAAGACCCTGTTTTAAAATAAAAAATAAAAAGGGCTGGGGATGAGGCTCAGTGGTTAAGGGCTCAATCCGTGATACAAAAACAAACAAATAAACAAACAAACCAGAAACAGAAGATCCTTTGGGTTTTTTTTTTTTTGTTCTTTGTGGGAGTTTGGATTAGCTGCTCATTCCTGGGATCTTTTTACCTCTCAATTCTATGAAACTCAACAGTGAAAGCAGAGGTGGTCAGCTAAGGTGCTTTCCTTCCCTTAGCTAGTACCAACCCAATACTTTGAACTCTAGTGACCTGATGACATAGTTATGGGTCAGTACTCAGGAATTAACACTTACAGTTCCTCTTCAACACTCCAAGATAACACTGGTGCATACACTCTTAAGATAAATACATGCTTGGTGATCAGAGTTTGTTGGCATCTCTGGGGACAAATGGCTTTCTTTATACTTGATGTGATTATTTTTTGCCTTCATAGATTGGCTTAAACTGTTATTGAATGTGAACCTAATTATGGGATTTGTTTTAAATATATTTATTGGGGTTTGAGACATACAGACATTCCAAGGAAGGAAAATACAGCAGACCTAATAAAATTAAAAAACAGCAATTGAATTAAAATAATGAAAAAAAACTTCCAAAAGGTTATGCAAATAGTATTAACTATATTTGCATGCTGTGAAAGATAGTGGTAAAGGGAGGAAGGAAGCTTTTGCAATTCATTTTATTCCTTTCCATAGCATCCAAATTATTTGCAGGTACATGTATTGCTTTTATAATAATAAAAAAGTAAAAACTGGGAATTTATTATGTGGAAAACTGAACATACTGTATAACATGGCTCTGTGTTACTTGACTCTGGGTCACCAGTGACTGACAAATAAAAGGTGCTCAAAGAAGTACTCACTAGATGAGTATATGAATGAATGAATGAATGAATGAATGAATTAGTGAACAGGTTGCTGGTATTCTGTTGGAAATTAAGTCTGAACTTCTAAGAATGATAAGCTCTGAACACTTGGGATATGTTTTTCATTAAGGTTTAGCTTTCTTTATCTACAATAATTCTTACCATTGACTTTCAAGGTAATCCACTTGTAGTCTGCACCACCATAGCTGATCATGCAGCAGTAAACCCCAGCATCCTGCAATTTCACATTCGTGATCTGAAGGACAGCATTTCCCTGGTAGAGCTGGTCTTTCAACAGCCAGGCCCTCTGCCTGTAGCTACTGTGCTGAACCTTCAGGTCTTCTTTCCCATTCACAAACTGAATAATTTCCTCATCCTCCTTTCCCCAGTAGACAACTAATGAACCCAAGTCTAGTTGTTTTTCTACTGGGAATTTGCATTCAATTGTCACATTGCTGCCATATTCAACTACATACAGGTCCTTGGGAACAGTGATACTAAAGGCTGAAAAGAAAGATGGCAAATCTTCAGAACATAGAAAATTCCTTAAAACATTTACAAAATGGGTAGAGGGCTTGCAATCACCTTATCTGGTGAGTTATAAGATAATTATATTTAAGGATTTTAGTTCCTTAAAATACATGTTTTATCCAGTGGGCTTGAAACATGTTTTGGGACACTATTTCTGATCCCTGCATTAGAATTATAAAACTAGCTAAACAAGTTGCCCCGCAATTTGTAAACATACATTCCTGTAAAAATATTATATGGTGATGGAGAACTTATAACCACAGAGACCTATTTTCACATGGACATCCCCAGAATGTTCTTTGCTTTCAACACAGCCTGAGTGGTAGATTTCATAATCTTCTCTTCTTACTCCCCCGCATTTTTGATCCATTCTCTGGTCAGAGGTAAGTGGATATGGAAATTTAGAGAGGGCCCCAGTATGTTACCAGTGCTGTATTACCCTTAAAACTTTGATACACACTAAAATTCTTCCTTAGAATATTTTCATCAGGAAAAGCAGGTCATAAGCAATATCAACTGTGATCCTGGCTTTGTTTAATACAAGCAAATAATGTACGTATAGGCCATTTCTCTAGAAATTTTCAATAAGGTATTCATGGGAAATCATTGAATTTTGTTTCTTTCAGTTTGTCTGTCTTTATACAATGACACAGGTGATTTTTTTTTTAAATGAAATAAGTAGACTGTTCTCTCTATACAAATTATGTCCACTTAAAATTATTATTTAAGTTTTTAACTCATGGTTAAAATAGTTAAAATACAGAACCTAATGAAAGGATTTGGTGTCTTACCGTTCAGCAAATGACAGAAGGATGTGAATATAAAGACATTAAACATCCTCATCTTTTTGCAATGACCTAGTTATGGAAAACACAAAAAGAAGACTGCTTTATTCAACAGTTGAACACATAGCACAACAGGAGGGCACTTGGCAGTTCTAAGTGAAATAGTCCTGATAACCAGGTGATAACTGATGTCTAAGTGTGGAACCATAGCAGGGGAATTTGGAAGTTAAATACCTTTATTTAATAGCACAGAACCACATAAAGCCAAGTGAATAGAGTTACTGTGATGAGCATTTTTAAATTTGGTTACAGGCCTGAAAAAAAATTGTAAATTGTAATGTACACTCAACAAAAGCCAAGAAGAAAATACTTTGCCCAAATCCTCTCAGCTATTTCATGTTTTCTGTGCGGTAACTTATCTAGAAACTCAAATGTGTCCTATGCAAAAATTTCAAAGTAAGGAAAATTTGACTTCTACTTCTCACCTTCCAATATTTTTTTTCCTTCTATGACTAAATATTTTCATTTTAACCTTTGGCTCTTCAAGACTTCCACTCTACTATAACAAGTAGGCCAGATGCATCCCTCAAAATCTTTTATGCCTCTCACTTATTCCAAACTACAAATCCTACTCTCTCAATAAACAGAATTTGTTAGTTACAAGAGATGGGAAGATGAGAGAGTTGGTCAATTTATGTTAAGATATGAATGTCTTGTGGTCACTCTCCCAGAGTCATCTATATTCATTCTTTTCTTCATTTTGCTTAAAGTTTTACTGATTTTTTAATTCAGCAAACCATTGACTGAGCACTTCTTCTGTGATTGGCACTATTTTAGGAACTGGAGATATAGCAATGAATATAAAAGAAAAGTCATTCTTCTCTTGGAGTTCATATTCAAGTAGGGGAGGAAGAGAAATTTGTGGTATTTCAGCCATGCTATTTATTTATTAACACATTTTTGTCTTTTGTGTTATATTTATACACTTTGATAAGAAAGTCAGTATCTCTCCAACCTCTATATAAATACACACAATTAATCAATGCTACAGATATATAAAGCAGAAGATTAATGTTCCCAATATATAAATAGCTCCTAAAAATCAATAAGAAAATTACAGTAACCCAAGAGTAAAACAAGTAATAATTTCTAACATACAGCTCAGAGACTAAAAAATACCAGTAAACATAGGAAAGGATGGCACCAATAAAATGTATATTTAGGATATAAGATACCATTTTCACTTATTAGCTTGACCAAAATTACAAAGATTACTAATGTTTGGTGTTTATAAGGACATAAACAAATAGGCTTTCTTGCCCATCAATGGTGGGAAGGAGAAGCTGTATATCTTTTTTTCGAGGGCTATTTGGTAATCTTTTTTGAAATTTCAAATGTATATGTCTCTGTGACCTTTCACTCCTCTCCTAAAAATCTATCATACAAACCCACAAACAAATACATACAATAATATATGTAAAGACATTGCATTGTTAATAATAGCTCCAAACAGAAAAAAATACCCTAGATGGTCTGAATGGTTAAATAAATTTTGTTCTGTTGATATGATACCATTAAGGATAGAATTCAGTACATGTATATGTATTACTTTTGCAAAAGGAGGCATAGAAAGAGAACTTCAGAACAGTATATGAAGCAGAAATCCATTTTTGTTCAACAAATAAAAAGTATGTGTATGTGTATATGTGTGTGTGTGTGTGTGTGTGTGTCTTTAGACATAGGAAATGTCCAAAATACCGACAATGATCATATCTATGAGTGAAATTAGAGGGAAGGCAAGTAAGTTTTCACCCACTTATAGTTTTTAAAAGGAAGAAAAGACAGAAAAAGGATAAATGGGATTGTGATTGATTTCATCAGTGTTTTTCTGAGTTTTCAAATGAATAATGGTTTTACTTTTCTTATCAGAAAAAAAATGATGAGTTTTTGGCAAACTAAAGTGTTATAATGGAAGAACCCCAGAAATGGAGTCCAAATATTGAGGTAGAATAAGGATATTAATCTAATGTTTTTCTTCATTATAAATTTGATATAACCACATTACAGAAAAAAGAGAAAGGAAGGAGAAAACCCCCTATTTTATCACTGTCATGCAGGGACATTTAGTAATAAATAACCTGGAAACATTTTTGGTTGTCAAAACGGGTTTTGGGCAGGGGAGAGTTGTTGCTGGTATCTAGGGGTGAGGCCAGGAAGGTGCTCTGAAGCACAGGACAGCATTCCCACAGAAAAGACATATCTGGCCTAGAAAACAATAAGTGCCAAGGTTGAGAAATTCTGTGACCATTATATTTCAGGAAAATATTTTTCTTTCAGTCTTTTTCCCTATGAATCTTTAAAAGAAGAGAATGTTAACATACATTTAATATTCATTTTTTATTGAAGGTTATGATAAATGTTTTCCATTTGGTGTGTGATATTCATAGACATTATTTAATAGTCTCCTTTTATTCATTTATTGTTAGGTATCAAATTATTGCCAATTTAAAAAAATCACAAGTGTTGTGTATTCAGAAACTATTTATTGAGTGTTTATTATGTGCCAGGCCCCAGGTTAGCCCCTAAAGATAGATTTCCCCCAAAAGAATTGCTGATCAAGGAGAAAAAATATTTTCTTGGTTCTTGACTTATTCTGGAAAATTGGTACCATTATATAGTATATTCATCCACCTCTGGCATTATTTAAAATTATTTTCCTAATTTCATTACTGAAAAGTACAATTTGAATTTTTTGTGGGTTTGTTTATCATTTAGTTCTTTGGGAATTATCTGATAATTTCTTTGTATAGCTATGCTAACATGTTTCTTTCATATTAAAAATGCATATATGAAAATATTAAAAATAAAATGAATCATCCTCTTGCTAGTTCAAGGTGCACAATTCTTATTTCTTTCCTCTCCAGCTACACTGCAGATGAGAAGCAGAAATATAACTAATCCTTTGAGGACACAAAGGTTGCAAAAAATGAGGCTGCAGCATCTGAGTGTCTTTTCGTTGAGCCAGTATTGATTACAGCACAATTATAAAATATTAATGTGATATTATAAACACAAATATGTTTATCAGGCAGTAGAGGATTTGGGATACCCCTAATTACAAGCAAAGCACTGTTGAATAAAACATAAAGACACTAAATTCACTTGTGGGTTACAACTAATTTTGAAAATGTTTATGGCATACTCTGGTGGAGTTTTAATCCTTTAATGAATCTGGTTGAAATTTTAGATGCAATTAAAGTTTACTGAAGGTGATTGATTAGATTTGATATTTACCTAATTCTTCATCATCCCTTCTCCTCTAAGGCTTTGTTCCCTTGGAGTGCAACTATCATGAGTGGGAGAAGAAAAGGGGGAGGAAAGAGACCATGTAAATAAACGTGTTCTTTGATCTCTAAAACTCACATGAGAGTAGTTGGTCCAAGAGAACACTGATATCTTCTTCTGGTAAGAAACTGACCTTGTGTGAATTCCCAGACAAGAGTGGACACTTTCACGAGCAATGAAATGTGACCTGGGGAAGAAACAAGGGCTCTTTCAGGATGGGGAAGTGGGTTTGCCCCTGGGAGAAGTCCAGTACAAACACCAAGGAAGTGATACCATGTCTCTATCTTCCCAGGGTAGGACGGCTATGAGGAAGATGCAACAATGCAAGTTTTCTTTCTCAAAAGTAAAAGCAAGGACTAAGAGAGTTGATCTATCAAATCTTTAGTAAATTTTTAAGCTCTATTAAACTGTACTAAACCTCATCCCCCTGCCCCAGTCACACTGAATCACTCTTGTACAATTTCCCCATGCGACTTCAAACCCCCAAGCTATTTCTCAGGCTTTGTGAAAGACCATACTCTGACTGCTATCATGTAGCTTCCACCTATCACTTTCCACGGAAAAAAAATCTACTTTTTGTTTTTTCTTCAGAGTATCATTGTTCTCCTTATATATTGTTGACCACTGTCATTGTCAACTGGTACATCTTTTCTGGAAGGCAATTTTAAATATTCATGAAAAGGTCTTCCAAATATACAAGACACTGACTATTAACACTTCTACAGTTTATCTGAAGGCAAAAATTGGCAATTTCCTAGAGACTTATGTACAATGGTTTGGTGAATGGCTAGCGTAGTGAACCCTATGAATAACCATTATGTTCAGCAATGGGAGAGTAATCTCATAATATTGGTTCCCTAGCACCATGAAATGCAACAATTAAAAAATATTTTAGAAGGCTACTTAATTCATAGAAAAGCATTCACAGTTAAATATACAATAATAACAACTAGTTAGAACAATGGTACTTTTACTCCTTGTGTTTTAAAGCAATCCCAAACTGAATTTAGACACAGGTCAAAGTCAATGTATCTAAGAAATGTCTTAACATTTTTATTCTTAGGCTCTTCCACTCTTCCTCCAGGATTCCCTTTGATCTTTCAAGCAGATACAGCAAGAAACTTAGGCCTTTGCGTCCTGGATCTCAAGACTGGAAGGGACCTTAGGAGATGCTGAAGGTGGGATGACTTACCCTGAGTCATATTACAAGTGATAACTTAATGTTGGACTAGAACCCAAATGTCCCGGTTTCCAATCTAGTAATTTCTCTCTAGACCCAGCTACCTCTCATGACCGTATCCGTGCACATGCACTCACATAAAAGATTGACATTAGTGCAAAACAACAGCAACTGTCAAAAGGCCAGATATATTGCCTGTTTTTAGGTCTTAACCCTACGATACAAATGAGTTCTGCTGCACCACAAAGTATCACACTTCCCATTTCCCTCTCCTCTCTCCATCCCAAAGACCCTGTCTTTTAAATGCCTCCTGTAGCGACCAGAGACACCTGGAGTGGGTGCGGGGCGGGAGAAGGACGCTCCCTACCTGCGGGTGGGGAGACTCGTGGCTGGCTGCGCAAAGAGTCAGGAGCCGGTACCCAAGATTAAGCGACCAGGGGATGTAGCGTGTGTGCGCTCTAAAGACCTCGCAGGCGAGAGGGCGTCCCCGCCCTCTGGCACAAAGCTCCGCCCCAGGGCAATTCCACTAGGTGTGTGGGCTTTTCCCAGCCTGCTGGGTTCTTGGGATAAATAAATGTGAAAACGAAACGAAAAGTGAAACTTTCCAGCCCCGCTTTTTCCTGTAAGTAAGTAAGGTTTTCATGAAGAACAGCGCTCTACAAGTGAATTAAATGGATATTCTCAAAAGAAAAAATTTTTTACAAAGCCTCCCAAACACATGAAAAAAAATGTTCAGCATCATTAGCAATTAGAGCAAATCAAAACTGCAGCTGAGATTTCATCTCACACCAGTCAGAATGGCAGCCATCAAAAACACAGTAATAAATGCTAGAGAGGTTGTGGAGACAAAGGAACACTTTTACACTTTGGTGGGATTGTAAATTAGTATAACCACTGTGGAAATCAGCATGGCAGTTCCAAAAGACTAGGCATGGGACCACCCTATGACCCAGCAATACCACTACTCAGTATTTATCCTAAAAAATTAAAGTCATCATACTATAGTGAAAAAAAATAGGGGAGGAAGAAGAGGGAAAGGGGAAATACTAGGGAATGATATTGGCCAAATTGTATAATTATATTGCGTGCATGTATAAATATGTAACAAAAATCCGGCATACAACTATATGTGCCAAAAATGTGTAAAAAAAACAAAAAAAAAGAATCTAACTTAACTACTCTTAACAAACAGTGCCCAAAACTAAAATAAACTTACATCTATTATATCTTAAACAAAAATTTAAAATAAACAAACACCTGAAATCACAAAGATTTTAGTCTTTGATTTTAGGTTCTTTTTTTCTTACTCCAGGACATCTTAGTAAATTCTACTGTCAGGTTCTGCCCCGTTCTAATAAGAACCTTTGGAAGGTGACTGAACATCTTGATATTACTTGATATACCTTGGTACAACATATACACGGTAAACAACAGACTCATAAGGCTTTGGTTTTTACTCTAGAAAGTAGTTATGTGTGTATAATAGGAAATATATTTTTAAATTGTGGATTTTTGTGACTTCCTCAAAGTTCCTCGACATAGTGAAACTTCAATTGCTTTGTCATTAAAAGAACTTCCCATCACAAGCTGAGCTATATACCTTTTAAGAATGCTCTGGATCCTTGCTATACTACCATCTTTGGGATCTAAGTTGGGGAAGCATATTCTAGATGATGAATAACACCCTTCTGGAAACTCTGAATCAGAGGGTATTCCCCAACTGAAATCATGTGACTACAATAGAGTATGGTGTCTTAATTTACTTAAAAATGCCCATTGTTGGACTTCTAAGTCTTTCCTTCCTTCCTCCTGTCCATCAATTGAATTCATTTTCGTTTGCCTTTCCGGCTTATTCATTTCAACTACAATTCAAAATACTGCATGATGAATGAATATTGAGATTGCCTTTGGCTTGATTGTGGCATATGCTTCCCCAGTACAATTTTTCACACAAGGCATTACAGATTTTTATTTTTTTAGTACTAGAGATTGAATTTATGGGCACTTTACCACCGAGCCACATCCCAGCGCTCCCCTTTTAAAATTTTTTTAAAATTTTGAGGTAGCCTCACTAAGTTGTTGAGGCTGGCTTTGAACTTGAGATCCTACTACCTCAGGCTCTGGAGTCACTGGGATTATAGGCCTGTGCCACCATGCCTGGCAGATTTTAATTTTTAAATACTGAGGATGATACTTCCTTAGAGATCTGGTAGGAAATGTGGGATTCTCTCTGGTATCAGTAAAATTGTAACAGACTTTGAAGACCCAGTTCCAGTGCTCCTTCTTTCAAATAGTTTTTGAGGCCATATAATGGAATAGAACAGGTTTCCCAACTTAAGGTCTAACCTGTGATAAAAATATAGACTTTATGTGGTAATCTAATTTGCACATATTTGTGTACAGGTGTGTTGAGTGTACACACATATATAAACATGTTTCATGCAACAGTGGCTGTGTATGTAATTAATACCTCTGACATTTTCTTTTTAATGTTTAATTTTTCTAAAAATAATGTTCAAGATCCAGGAAATAGACTTCATGATCTGTTAGTTCAGTCATCACTATTAAGATCTTTAAAAAAATGGCTCTAGAGTCACCTACCACAAGCCAGCTAAGTTATCTTGGTCAAATAGTTTACCAAGTCATCAGGATTAGATCATATTCTCTTGGATAGTATTTATAATCTATGAATCCCTTTTAAACCTGGAAAGAGGGATGTTTTGTTTTTTGATTATTTTATGAAAGGTCTACACAAATGATTAGCAGGGAAAGCAGGAAGTGAATAAAATTTGCCTTTCTCTGAAGCTGTTAGTGGGAATTGAAGGTATTTACTCAGCTTGTGCTTAGGGATTTGCATATTAGTAATCTGAGGATTTGTGTTCTTTTTTCATCTATTTCATCTCTTTCTTCTCTTCAGCTGCTCATACTCCCATGCAATTGATCAAACTTCTTAATGAGGTTTTTGGTATCCTCCAGAAATAGAAAAACAGAATGTGCCTAGAAAAAGAGAAATTTCATTTATCAGCTCTAAAAATATACATAAATCCAAAGAACTGGGGTTTTAGGAAGTGTTATCTTGAGAAACTGTGTGAGTTTTATGATTTGGGCAAAGTGGATGGAGAAGTGCTGAGACAGAAGAGCAGTGACTACCCAAGGGTTGAAAAGTTAAACACCTTGGTCACCTCAAACGTCACCATTTTCCATTCCCATTCACTCCCCTCATTCATTTTTAGAGGTAAAAACTCATCATTGCCAATGTGCTTCCCTTCCTCCCCCTCCTCCTCCTTTTCCTCCTCTTCCTCTCCCTTTTTCCCTTCCTTTTCTCCTTCTCCTCCTCCTCCTCCTTCTTTTTGGTACTGGGAATTTGACCCAGGAGCACTTTACCACTGAGCTACATCTCCAGCCCTTTTTATTTTTATTTTGACTCTGGGTCTTTCTAAATTGCCCAGGCTGGCCTTGAGCTTATGATCCTCCTTCCTCAGTCTCCTGAGTCACTGGGATTACATGTGTGTGGTACCATGCCCTGGTAATGTTCTAGGGTCACTTGCATCATGGTTGACTTGGGGTAAGTGTTAAGATATTGATTCTAGAGCTCTGCCATAGACCTGCTACATCTGAACTATGCGGCAGGATGGGGTGGGGGTCTTGGAAGTTGACATTTTAATACTGTTCTCAGGTGAGTGATGTTCATATTGAAATTTTGAAAACAGATGACTTAAGGTTTAAAGGGGGAAAAATCAAATCAAGAATTCTTTGTAAGGACAGTTCCAGCTCTTCTTCTTCTATCTAATTTGATTTAGATTAATTCACCTTTCACTCTGCCTCTGTGTACTCCACTTGCCACTTTCTTCCCTTAAACAAGAGAGATGAACCTCAAAACAAAGCAGTAACAACAAAAATTGGCAAACTGCTTCGTTTGCATCGAATATT